TTGATGTCTGTTAGTGCTTTAGAAAGTATCAATGGTGAAGTGCCAGCCACTCCTGTGAAACAGGGTTCCAGAGAAGTGCCTACCACACCTGCAAAACAGAGTTCAACAGAAGTGCCTGCTGCTCCTGAACAGAGTTCAACAGAAGTGTCTGCAACGCCTGTGAAACAGGGAGCACAATAATACAGAGGTATAGAGTAACAAGTAGGTATGAAAAATGGGAAAATGGAATTCGGATGATTTAATTAAGTCATCTTTAAATGATGCCTAATCCTTAAACAATTTAATTATTAAAGGTGAGAGAACTACAGAGCAACAGTAAGATGGGAAATATATTTCATTTTAAGTTTTCTTAAGTTGTACCTGTCTTTATTCTAAATGGACACTTTGGTAACTATCTCATGTCACAAAAAAAAATAAATCTTCAAAACTATGGATGGATTCCATCTTCCAATTAAAATGTAATGTGTCAAGGTTAACAATATTCTATTAAACTCCTATCTAATGATTTACTTGAAATACTTAAGTATTTAAAAAAATCCTTTTCATCCATTGACTTTTGCAATCAAAGAAATAGAAACAGATGTCTAAAAATGTTTTTATTTATGGATATTTCTTCCCTGTAAATTACTTGATCTCAAGCCAGGTCCTGGTGGGCATGTGCCTTCCATATCAAAGAACATTGCCATCACTGGTGCTAACAGAAAAATGTAATCTATTGTAGAGGCACCATGTAGTGCAAATGGGCATAGGGTTGAAGCAACCTCGTGATGTCATCCAGTCCAGTCCGCTGCTCAAGGCAGAAATATCTGTCTAAATCATTCCAGACAAGTGTTTGTCTAACCTGATGGAGATTCCACAGCCTCTGGAAGCAATCTTAGCCACCATTACAGGTTGAAAACAGACAGTGGATTTTGCCTACAAAGCCTTTTATTCTGGGATACTACATAAGTACAAACCCACTGTCCCACGTTAAGGACCTGGGAAGTATTCTGATGCACCCTCCACACACCTTTTCAAGTTAATTGCCATTCAAGCGGCATGAGTAAACAGCTGCTCTGTGCCTGTTTGGATGAGTCTGAAATCTGTTTTTAACACATAAAACAACATTTAAATGGCTATTAAGGTAAGAAAGAAAATAGCATGCTATGGCACATTGTAATTTTCTTTCTCCAGTAGAAAAAACCTGGGTCACAGAGAAGAAAAACTGCAGTTCCAGACAACCCTGAATTTTTTTTCTAATATCTGACCTAGCTTCCCCTTGTTGCAGTTTCAGGCTATTACTATTAGTTCTGGCCCCCGTGAACCCAGAGAATAGTCACCATCCTGAATATTTCTATATTTACCACAAAAAAAAAAAAAAAAGGATTTTTGCTTCCTTCCAAAGTCTGTTTTGCCAGCTAAATCAAGGAAGCTTGAACACTCCCCTCCACCCCCAGTTATACCTTCAGTTGCTCAGTTTTTAGGCTCTTATCTGTTTAATGCTTTTTGTTACTTCACCAACTCTCAGGTCTCTACAAAGTCTTTTTGGATAGGCAAGTTCGTACATTCTCTAGTGTACATTTTTTTTAATACTAAGCTGTTTCCATACATTGAGAAGTATAGAGAAAAGGGCATAAACATTTCAACAAAATGTGTTCCAGTTCATTTGAATTGTATAAATGATATGTGATCACCTTTGAATCATGTTCCAAATTACAAATCAAAATTGTTTTGTATTTTTAACCTTTTTTTATAGCACGTTAGTTAGTGGTCTTTCTTACTTAGTAGGCAGCAACATTCTGTAAAAATATATTTATGTATTTTTCTCAAATATATTTTCGCTTCTAAAGTTAAAACAGCCTATTCTCTAGGGGTGCATATTACTGTGCTTTTATAGCTTTAAATGCCCATCCAAGGCAGTCTTATGTGTATTATGAAACCTCTCATAGGATTTAAGATCTTCCTTTTTTTATAAAGAGATGTGTGGGTAATGGAAGATAGGGTCAGAGGACTCTCTTGTAAAGTTCACTCCAGTCTTATGCAACAGTTACACAAATCATCTGGGAAAGGTCTTGACCTTGGATTGGGATCCATGTATGCTACAAAAATAATCAGGCCTGCATTGTTGGGCTGAAGCTTTTATTCCCATCATAGCTATAGGGCCATGGCTTTCTGTCACATTGGCAGGAAGTTGTTTTGATAAAATGCTTTTAATCATATTCAAGAAAATTGAGGCAGGCATTGTTTCAGGATTATAATAAAAGGAATATGTAGATTATAATTAGGGACGTACCTAATTTGTTGGGCTTGCTCCCTGATTCAGCAGTCCGAATGCAGTGCTTATGGCAGAGCCGCAGCCGCACCCTCGGCCCCTCCCTGGAGATTGACAGATGGCCATCTGTCAGGAGTGGGGCGGGGTTTCATGTTCTACCATGAAAATCTCCCCTCCCTCTTCCCCATGCTTCAGGATGCCAGGGCTTTCCGCTTGTTTTCAACTCTTTCCTCCCCTCCCCACAACACTTGTTGGACATCTTTCAGGTTTTTTTCAGTCCTCACATTTTTTCATAGGGGACCCACCAAATTTTTGGTTTCCATACCAATTGCAAAATTGTGAATTTGGTAGGTTGCTAATTATAAGGTAATGAAAAGAATTGGATTTGCTGAAATTGAACAGAAGTTATATATGTTAGAATTTTTATGACTGTCACCAGTAAATATATGAAAATGAAATGCATTCACTACAGGTACATCTGGGGAACTTGACTCAACAATAGTAAATTACTGCTCAATGCATTTGAAAGGTCTGGTGTCAGGAAAGCATCTTAAAAGCTGCCACAGTCTAAAGCAATTGTTCTGGCAGCTGGAAACTACACATCAGTCAGTTTTAAGTAGACTGTAGCATTTGGACTAATTTGCATTGCAAGTTCAGTCCTTGCATTAAATGGCAAATTGTTGGATAAATGTGATAAAATGTCACATGGTAGAAAATTCTAAACAGCTGCAGAATTTTAAAAAATCCCTAAATAGCTTCCATGGTAATTGTATATGTCTGACATTTTCTTAGCTTGTGTGCTGATTAGCATTCTCTTTTCTCCTCTTTACTTTCAGGGACCTTTTTCTCACGTGTTTAAACATTTGGAGTAGCATGTTTGGATACTACATTGTCAGTTAATCAAAATATTGTGAAACATAATCTTTCCATTACAACATACTTAATTAAAAATCTAAACAATCTTCTTTCCAGTCTGTACACAGAAGGCATATTCCCTTTTCAAAGTACCTCTTGATGTTTAACCTCTTAAATTGAACACTTGTCCTTTTCAACCTAAAAGTAATTATGGAACCTGTAGTTATTATCTTTGCACAATATATCTCTTGCTTTTACCCAGTGTGCTCGGATCACAGCCTTCCCTAAAGGGGTTTGTACCATGTTAAGAATTATTTTTCTATCCCAAATAACCTTTGTTTACTAATTAAATTTAACGGCACAATACTTTAAACACCACTGATCTCACACAAATGAGTGCCAGCTGCAATACATATGAAATAGTCCATACACTATGAGCAAATTAATGTCAATAATATTTTTCCTAAAAGATCTATAAATCCCAAAAATAATCTAGGTACCTATTATCAAGACAGGACTAATAGAAATCAAGTAGGTAAATATGTACATTCCTTGTCACACCCAGAAGATTAATGTTGTTTCTTTTTTAAAACCTTTGGGAACAAAGGACTACAAAGAAATAATATAAGATAAATATATTTTACTTTAACAAATTTACAGTATGAATTTTAAGAATATTATTTTAGATGAGTTTAAAAAAATCTCTCACACATGCATTTCCCATCTACTACTGTTAGGCTCAACTTCTGAAATTGTTAATTACTGTAAGATGCATTAAAACCTTGACTGTTAGGTGCTCTAAAACCGGAGAATCTGCCAGTGTCAGCTGACAAAACTGTGCCTCACTGTTTCCCCGTGTCTAATATCATTGCAGCTTTAACATGTACAAATGAGTTCTTCATAATAAACAACATGCACTCTTCAGCTGCAGCATCACAGATTCTGTGGACAGCTGTAATATTTGAAACATTTCAAACAATGTTAAAATGACTTTGAAATGCTTTAAAAGGTGAGCATACAGATGTATGTATTCAGTAAAACTCTCCAAAGCATGACAAAAATGTACCTGTAGGGAACAGGTACTATTTTATACTGCTTTATTTTGTAACAAGTGTGTATGTGGTAGGTTGGTCCTCCAGGCATACCACAATGCAGTGCACTTTTTCCCTTCCATGGGCTCCTAACAGTCTGGCTGCTGCAGGCACTGGGAGCTTGTGGGATCCCAGCAGTGTCCAGTACTGAGGAGTGCTTATTGACTATCTGCTCAGCTCTCCCCTTTCATGTTCAGAATGGAACCCCAAGACCAACCAATCTATGGTATTTACTTGAATCCATCCTCAGTACTCATGAGAGGAAGCGGGCAGAAGCCTTGTCTTCGAGTACTTGCCTGGCACAAGCATAAGGGGACAAAGAGCAGGAGGACAGATAGTGAGGGGGAAGGGGTCAGCTGGCCGGAGTGACAGGCAGCAGTGGGGCAGGCATGGGCATGTGGGGAAGGGGTGGAGGAGGCAGGTGATACAGGGTCAGGGGGCAAGTGGCAGGGGATGCAGGCAGCCAGACAAGCACAGGCATTGGCAGGGCAAAAGGCTGGGGTCTGTTTTGGAGAAGTGAATTTAAGATGACCCTCCAATAATTGGATTCTTTACATGAAAAATTGTAGCAAATATATGTATTTTCCATGTATAGAATCTAATTATTAGGCAGTCATCTTAAATTTAAAGTTTGTCTTGGATTCTGGCAAATATGATACTTTCATGCCCCATGACAGGAGAATAAAACACTGCCTGCCTGCCAGCTGGCATGGTAGTATTGACATGCTTTGGTGGGCATGCAGCAGGGGCTGTAGCTCTGCCCTCGGTTGAGTTGCTCTGTTTTCAAAACATTTCAGCCCTGTTAGCCTGTGGAAAGATTCAGATGTTATGCCTGTTTGCACTGTTGGTGTGCCTACCTCATTTACTGCCATCTTGACTCCAGGGTTTTTGTCATCAGATGTCTAATATGTAACATGCTAAACAAGTGGTGAGAGAGAGATAACACTGAAAAGGGGGAAAATAAGGAGGACAGAGATTAAGGAGCAAGTGACATTGAATCTCCTGTGACACTTTACTAGTGAACATTTTTACATCTCTTCAAACTAGTGACCTTTTTTTATTACATGTAGTTCATTGCTTTTGATATCGAGATCTAGTTTCTGCAGAATTTCCAAATTTTTCATACCAGGTACTGCAGAGGAAAACCCTTTCTTGAAAGCTCCTGTTTCTCTTCCTAGACTTTCATATCTCCAGTCTAGACCCTGACCCTAGTCCTTGAAGCCAAACAGCCGTAATCTATCTGTTGCCAGTGGCCACTAGGGCTGGCAGAACAGCCAGGACTGTACTGGGTATAGAAATACTGCAGCCGCGCACCTTTTTTTGCTCATTGCAACCCCTATGACATTTACTGAAGGGGGGCTTAGGAGTTTGCAGTGGCAGGGAGATTTTTTAGCAGTCAGCTAAGCCCTATTCAAGATCACTTTGTGTACCCAGAATGGTGCAAAGCAACCTTAGTGTATTGGTAATTCACGCCACTTATTTTTAGTGGGATTCTACTGCTATATCAGTCTTATATTTATATTTGTTTTTGTACAGGGAAATCAGTAACATGTCTGCTTTCTTGTAGTGGTAAATAGTTTTGTTTCTTTTGCAGGTTGAACTTCTAGAAGAAGCATGTTTGAAAAAAATTTGGAGAAACTGAAAACTAAGAAGAAGTGCATATTATTTTAGGAAGTGTATTTATGGCACTATAGTTCTTTATACATTCTAGCATGGAATGTATAAGGGGGTAGGTCCTAAACATTTAACATTTTAGCTAATAAAATGAATTAATCATAGCTGATGTCATAGCATGGGTTTCTGTGGTCAGCATACCTAGTTTATTAGCATTATCTTACATATAAAAACATATGGTAACTCTTTGGGGCAAGGGAGGGATAATGGGGGGACAAAATCTATCAAAAATCATCACTGGTATGTTTAAATCAAAATATTTAATGGGGTCAACAGTACGAGTAATGAAAAACAAAACTTGGGAATACTTTATTTTTTATGACTAAGGACTTTTTTTTTAGCATGATGGCCATATTGTAAACTATACCTCAGCCCTCTCTGATTCTTTTGGGGGCCTTCAGGTCTCATGCTTTTGCGTTTCCTTGAGCATAATCCCATTATTGGTTAAGGTCTCAGGCCGCAGTGCTTTTTTTTTTTTTTTTCTTTTACCCCAACCAGTCAGACTATTCAGCAGCTGTTGGTTTTCCCTTTGGGATCTTGTGACTGTTGTTCAACACAATGGCCAGATGTCCTTCTTCAAACAAGAGTACTGCTTAATCATAACAAGAAGAAAAAGTTTTAAAACAACAAGTGGTCCACATGAATATTTGTTTTAACTATGCCCTTTCAGCCACAGAGCAGAGACAAGAAACTAGTAGAACCTTCAGGCACACTGATATAGTGGATATCACTATCTTTTTCAAAAACTGTTTGATAGCTACCTGGCCTTTCACCAGAGGATGTTTAAAGCAATTTGATGAGCTCCTTGGAAGGTTGAGCCAACCTTCTCTGGCCAACTTCTCTCCCATTATTTTGTAACTGGCCATTAGGCTGTCTTGTTTTGAGTCACTGAGGCTGTGTACAGACATTTGTGGAGGTTAGGGGAAAGTTAAAAATGGCCTCCTGATCTAAGGTATGTTGGGATGGGGAAGCAAGCAGGCTTTGGGGATGGGAGCACAGGTAGGGTCCACCAGGGGGGTGGGAGTTGGATCAGAGAATTCAGTCAGGGGGCAGTCAGCATCCACAGGGGGGATTGGGAGGTCAAGCAGCATCAGTGGGAGGGGTTGGGGAGACTGGGGGCTGGTAGGGTCTGTGGGGGGGATCAGGGCAATTGGGGGCAGGTGATATCTACAGGGTGCTTGGGGGGGCAGGAAAGTTTGGTGGGATTGGGGGGCTTGTGGGGTCAGCAGGCAGAGGGGATAGGGATGGGGATGCTCTCTTCCCCACACCTAGGAGCAGAGGCTATTTTTATCCCCCCAGCCCCCAGACAAACAACCCCCACTTAATTGCTTGGCTCCTGGCACTGACAAATGCCAGTGAAACTGGCACTGGGAGTGGCTTGCAGGATCAGGGGTTTGTTGGGATGTCGGGGGTCTGTCAGGGGCCAGGGGACTAAAAATAACCTGGTGTCAGGAATTGGGTAGGAAAAGCATAGCCCTAGGGCTGGGGCTAGCAGCTGGCTTTCCCAGCTCTGGGGCTGCACTGGGAACTGTACAGAAGTTAGGGACAGTTAGATTGGGTTGGCTATTTTTAGACCAATCTAAGTTGAGTGTACCTTCAAAGTAGGTTTAACTTATCATAGAATCATAGAAGTAGGGTCAGAAGGGACCTTGTAGATCTTCAACTTGTATTGGGTCAGCCATTTTCAGACTGATCTAACTGTCCTGAACTTCTGTACAATTTTCAGTTGGGTGTAAAGTCTGCATTTGGGTGAACTAAATTAGATTGGCTGGCCATTTTTAACCCTATCTAACCTCCCCAAATGTCTGTCTGGAGCCTGAGTCATTATTTTGAGAAAAGTAATTTTACCAGTTGTCACCCTGTCCTCACCAGCCCTCCCCCCCCACTCCAAGAGTGTACTGTTAGACTGATCTAACATTCATAAACATCCTTTTCAACATCAGGCAAACAGAGAGAGCTGTCTCATGTTCTTAACTATGGCCATCCTTGAAAACAGATAGCCCTAATGCGTTGATACCAAAACATTCATACAAAACATTGTCCGTGTTGTTTTCTAGCTTCGTGTGTGACATAATGGTAGCAGAACACCAGTGTCTGTTACTTCAGCTGTGTTGTCATTGGGTGTTTTGGGGTTTTTTTTGTATTATGATTACTGCTTTATTTTAGAAACATTTTGTTAATTGTGAACTTTACAATATTTTGGGAGATGTTCTTGCTGTGTAACGGAAACTGAAAGCAACGCTTCTGTTTGAGTGCCTACCAAGGCAAGATATCCAAATTGCAGCAGCGTATGTGGTAGTGGGGATTGTGCTCTGTTACACCATTAAGCAGTTTAATCTGGTTTACAGACTTTTAAAACTCATTGTCTACTTCGAATTTGTTTTACATTTTAAACTTAATTCTGTCAATCTTTTTCATTCAAAGTGCTCTCCTTTTCTTTCTCCTTCAGCTCTGAAGGTTGAATTTCTTCATCAGCCTGAGCCATGTAAATTATCAGTTTGTGCAATATCAAAAGAATTTTCCCCTCTCTTCTGTTGCTCACTTAAAAGAGCTGTCAGTGTAGCACTACTCATTAGTACTAAATTTACACTTAGAAAGCAAACCTTACAAGAGAAATTGGTCATTTATAATTTCTAAATAATTTTTAAATGGATGTTTTTATGCTCTTGTTATTGAGACTCCCAAATCCGAGTCATTTGAGCATGACTGTTACTTGAAAGTTTATTCAGCAATCTCAGTACAGTTGATTTTTCAGGACTGGTATAAATGGTCTTTTCCAGTACTCAGATCTAACAGAGACTTCCAAGGTCATCCTCAAAGTATTAAAAGGTAGATTAAACTGGGTAGGTTAATGCCTCATATTTTGGTCTCTCTTTTCAAATGTCATTTGATCCTTTTATGAATTGCTTTACAGTATAATAAATTGTGTGCAGAAGGAATTTAAATAGTGTCACTAACTTCAGGTTTCCAGGATATTAGACACATGATAAACAGGGAATTTAAGGTTATATATGACAATGCTTAAATATAGAATAATTTTTTTGAAAAAGCAGAAGTCATGCACAACCAAAGTCAAGAGTTTCTAGATTATTTTCAGAATGGAAATGCACAATTGTAGTGTGTGCCAAAGGCTTTAAAAATGAGATTTTGTTCAGATAACACATCTTAGTAATATTTTTGTGGTCTAATACTGCAAGTAAATATGCTAACAGATTTGAAAATGTGTTTAATTTAAATATAAATGCTATTTTTTTACTTAATTTAAATGTAGTTTCTACTTTGAGTCTAATAGAAATATGCAAAAAACCACACACACACACACACACACACACACACTTTTGTGTGTGTGTGTATATATATATATAATATTTTTAATGTGTTCAGTGTGTTGCCTGCATGTGGGGGTGTGCGTATTGCCTGCTATTATATATAATATGGACACACAAGCAATGCATAGAACATGTTAAATATATGACTACTTAAAGGTGTACATAAGACCTTATCTCTCTCTCTCTCTCTCTCTCTCTATATATATATCTATATATATATCTATATATCTATATATATATGTATATACATATAGATATATA